TATGGAGGAGGCCAAAGTTTAGCAGGGAACTGGACGGTTATGGTACGGTATAGGTGTTTTAAGAGGCGACGAAAGGAAACTGAAATAAGGTAGCAACTATGACGAATATCTTTAAGAAGCAGTCTATGGGAGAGGCTTTTGATTGGCTGAACGATGATGACGTCAAAGTCAACAGATTAATTAAAATTCTTGCGTCGTAACTAAGCGATCTACAGTAGTTTCATTCTAGTTTAAATACATATATCACAATTTAGATGCTCATTCTGAAATTGTGAATTTTAAATTTTCTATTATAAGATTCATTTTTTTTTATGGGATAGAGTGACAAACGAGCACACAGTCTACCTGATGGTAGGTGGTTGCTGTGGCCCATAGACATCTACATCTATCCTCGATTACGAATCAAAATGCAGATGTGTTGTCAACCATGAGGACTAAGATGGAATGCCTCGTTTCTAGTAAAAAGGATCTCCGGTTCTCTATACTCATCATACAAAACACAGCAGCATTAAGCTACTATTTCACGCTGGTATTTTATGAGAGCGTGGTCCTTCTCCGGTCGAGCTGACCTATTCGTGCTACAACTATACTACTAATATAACTGCAGTATGGCTCTACCACGTATACAAATACTAATTTGCTTCGGGAATCTCGTTTAACAATTCGCTCCAGCTATCAATTGTCATTTCCGTCAGAAGCGACTTTTCGAAGTCACGTTCGTTATCAGTCCTTTAATAACTTTAGCACTTGAGATCCAAGTAGTTCTAGACCTATGGTATCTACGACACTGATCCTTGTTGTTAGTCTTGTTACTTTTACTCTGTTTTATAAATATTTCGTCATCTACCAAAGGTCACATCCACCGAACGAGGTGGGGTAGCATACGTCATCAACAAGCGGCTTACTGGTGATATAAGATTGTCTTCGTTATGAAATATTAATATGATTAGTTTGCAAAGAGTGCGCTAAGGCAAAATTATAAAAATAACATGGTCATATATGGACACGTAAGGAGCACGAGTCCATGGCGGACTTAACCGGAACTAGGTTTTTGTTATACAAAGTCACTCAATGGCAATAGAAAATAGAAAAATCAAGGTCAGGATTGACCGTCCCTAGTACAGTTAAACATTAATAGCGTAGAATTTTACAAGCTATACAAATAGGAAATATCAAAGACTGTAGTTGATGAATATGAGGTCTGTTTATCTGGCTAGGAAACTTTCTACATTGATCTTATTTTAATTACCGGTATGATTTAACCCTTCATAAGTCCACAGCATCTATCAACTTCTTGCATATCTTATTAGTTCGCACGCAATCTTGTGGGGGCCGCGCTACAATACCCTTACCGGTACGAGCCTCCAACTCAAGAACCTGTCTTCCCTATCAGTTGTCGGTTCGTAGAACTATGTGGTCAGTTCAGCTTATTATTTCGCTGGATTATGTTGGTTAACCCTTTCCAAAACTCGCTAAGCGACCTTTAACGTCAAGATCCATATGTCATTACTGCCAATCTTAAATTATATAAGAAAATACTTGCTTGCTCGATTGTAACATTCGTCTCTAACCCTGCGACCTTTAAAGAAGCATAACCATTTTTAAAATTTGTACGTAACATTATTTCGTTTGGAGATAAATAATGATTTTGTTTGGGATGTAACGCTGCTTAATTACTAATTTCAACGTATAAATTATATTAAGCGCGTTACGACAAATGTCTTAAATCACAGTATACGCACGCTAGAATTAACTTTATGTCAAATATGGATAAAGTGGGATTTAGCTTGTTTACGTAAACATTTGTAAATATAAAGATGATCTATGGCAATAAGTAGATTGCCTAAATATATCATTAACACATTGAGTGCCAAAAGTTAGCGTCATAGTGAAATCGGTGGCCACCATACAAATGGTGTGCTACGCATTATTACGTAGCTGGCACCCACTAGAAAAAGTATCCCATGGATGCCAATCTACGCAATAGTACGTATTCGTAATATTACGTAGTCCGGCACCAATTACAACCCTTTCATCATATGATGCCAGTCTACGCAATATTACGTATTCGTAATATTGCGTAGCTTGGCATCTCTGTTACTTACTTTCGTCCTGTTTACTCCTGCATTGCTAGGTGATTTTTTTCAAACCATTTTGTGGATTCATTAGTGCAAGCAACATACAACTACACAAAAGGCACAAAAGGGTCTGTACAAAAACATGCCCGTTTTAGGTATTGGAAAGATACTAATCAGGAAGAAATGCGTAAATTCATTGGTATGTTGCTCTGAATGGGACTCGTTCGTTTACCTACTATAAGTCATTATTGGAAAATAGATCCACTGTACAAGTTACCAATTTTTAGAAAACTTATGAGTCGAAATCGCTTTCAAATATTTCATTTTTCTGAAAGTGATGACACAGCAACACCAAGACTGCGTAAAATACAACCAATATTAGATCGTTTTAACAATATCACGTATAAGATACCCACAAACTGATTTAATAGATTACCCACAAACTGATTTAAGTATTGATGAATCGATGGATTTATGGAGAGGAAGACTGGTTTTTCGTCAATATATAAAAAATAAAAAAAAACATAAATATGGCGTGAAACTGTATGAACATCGCGAATCATCAGGAATAATTATGAAGATACGTGTTTATAGAGGAAAGAGTGAGAAGCCGCCACCGGAAACATATTACCGAAGTTGTATTAGATCTAATGGAAGGGTATTTAGACAAAGGCCATGTTATCTACGCTGACAATTTTTATAACTCACCGGATCTAACAAGGCGTCTTAGTCAAAGAAAAACGTACATATGTAGTACTCTTCGAAAGATCCGCAAGAACCTTCCTCTAGACGTAGCCAACGCTAAGTTGAAGCTTGGCGAAATGGCTGCAAAAGTATGCAATGACATTACTGTTTGTAAGTAGAAAGACAAACGCGACGTCTTAGTGATTTCCAACAAACATAAATTGCAATTCGTGACAGTAAGAAAAGGAACGGGAAATTGTCGTTGAAGCCTACTATCGTTGATGACTACAACCTGGGGATGTCTGGTGTGGACAGAGGAGACCAGATGATATCATATTACTCGTGCCTTAGAAAAACTCTTAGATGGCATAAGAAATTGGCATTACACATTTTTAAAGTTTAAGTCCAAAATGCCCATCGATTACTTCGCGTCAATGATCATACTTCGAAAATGCTTTTGATAAAGTTTCGTGAAGATTTCGTAAAATATTTCATGGGACTAAGTTTAAATCCAGCAGCAGTGTAATCCGGGGCATCATGCGCAGCACCTGTACAACCACAAGATGCCCAAGACAAACTTCAACTTATACCTTCGTCGTCGTTACAAGGGCCCTCTGATTCACCTCGATCGCCTGCTAATGTTGCGCGTCGCTTATCGACAAACGAAGGTGCACGCGTTCCATTGCAAAACTTTCATTACTTAGAAAAACTACCACCCACCGCTAAGAAAGCCTTTCCAGCCAAACCTTGCCGCGTTTGCACAAAAAACAAGAAGCAAAAGGAATCATCGTTTGTGTGTGCTACTTGCCCTGAAAAGCCTGCCTTATGTGTAAATAATTGCTTTAAAATTTTCTATACTGATCCTCGTATTGCATAGCTTATTTTAATTTTTTTGTTACGATTCATTTTTCATTTCATTAGAAATACGTTTTCTAAATTTATTTTAAAATAAATAATTACTACTTTTGTTATAAAAAGTAAACTTAATATGAAATATCTCATTAGAAAACTAATATTTTTCACTAACATTGCCTAAGAAAGCATGTCATTTGTGAAATATAAAAGAAATAAAGTTAATATTTTTCTGTCTCTTATTTTATTTAAGAAGCCAAAGAACATAAAAATATGCAATACAGGGTGCCAATTAATATAATTTACCATTTATGGGCTATGGAAGATCTACGTAATATTTCGTAGTTGGCTTCCACCATTGTTTCAACCTACGCAATATTGCGTATTTGGCACTCAATGTGTTAAGTTGTTACTACTTTTGATTAATAATAATAATAATATAGTCGTCTGCGAATGGGCTAATCCCAGTCAGCCTCTCGGGTCATCTGAGGCGACTGGGACTCCGTAACGGACCGCTCCGGGCTCAAATGCAAAAGGCAGTGCTCCTCGATACCGCCCGCATCGTCCGCCGGTTTCTTTCCCTTTCCTCCTAACCCTCGGCCGTTTGCCGAGGGCTTCCATCTGGTTGGGCTTTTATTTATGTATTTATTTTTGTATTTATTTTATTTTATTGATGTTTATGTATATTTATCGTTTCATTTTAACTTATAATTATATATTTATATAACCCAACCAGATGAGAAAACTATGTAGATACCCCAAATAATAAAAAGGCGTAGGGAAGTGACGACCCCATCGCCCGCTGACGTAACAGTTATGTGACAAAACTGCTACGTCGGCGCAGTCAGTCAGCATCCTGCCAAGAGGTGTGAGCGCCGTGCCTAGGAAAAATTGTGGGTGCAAAGGTCCGTTTGTGCATATGACCCAAACACGAAACGGTGCCGGGCTTGGGCGTCTCTCGTTATTTGGCGCCCATAAAATTAATGACGGCACAGAAAGGAACGCGCATAGGGCCGCTGCCTGGGCGTCGCCGGGGCGCGTCTGGAGCTGGCGCTGGACGCGGCAGCATGCGGGCCGCCACCCGAGCGTGAGGAGCTGCACGATCACCTAGCAGCCCCTCGCATCCATCCCTGGTGTCGGCTGGGTCTTCTCGGACTCCGCAAGCGGCACCCGCCGCTGGTGGAGCACGTCGCATGCGTTGGACAAAATTTATGAACGAAAACGCATTGCGAGCGTACTATAGGGCGAAAGGGGAAGAAACTGTGGGAATAGCGTATAGGGCTCGGATGCATTGCTTTTTTGCTGAGCTGGAGTCTTCTATCCCCGTCACGGAACAAAACCTGGCAGACCGAGTTCGGTACGTCATGCGCTCGAAAATATTTGATGATGCCGAACTCGAACGACTACGACGTGAGATTATTTCATCCATCGGCTATGGCTGGAGATGCAGCTCCACATCCGACAGACCAGCATCCACACGTGGAAGCCGCCATGGATCTTCCAGTTGTGGTTGATTCGAACGACGATGAAATAGTCTCTCACGAACTAGAGCAAATGAGGAGTATATTGGAAGAGGCGATTTTGGAAACGCGCAGTACCCCTCTCGAAAATCGACCGCGACTTACCCGCATACCCCTAAGCAAGCGAAATCGGGCTGTCGTGAGGGCTCTTAACCCAATGCTGGTGACCTATTTGGAAGCCAGCCGGGACCTTTGCGAGACGGACTCAATTCTCTTTGGCGCCGCAGCGGTAGTTTGCCGTATTATTGGCGCCAAACTTCCCATGGCTGGACGCGCTACTACACAAAGTAGCGCCATCCCAGCCTGGGGAAAAAGAATCGAGGACCGTATCGCAAAGGCAAGGGCCCTTATCGGCAGACTGACAAGCTTCAGGTCGGGTAATAATAGACCGAGGATTGTGCGCACCGTTAGGATGGCGTTTGCTGGGACAAATATCAGTTTGTCCCAGCCGGATATCACGCAGAAACTAACGGAGCGCATAGACGACCTGAAGCAAAAGATCGCTGCTTGGGGTGAAGCGGATTCGACGATTTACCGAGAGGTCAAGGCGGTTCAACTAGAATCGTCTCTTCCAGAGTGATCAGAAGAGGCTCTATAAATCATTGATGTGGTCGTCAAATCATCAAGGTATGTAGAGCGGGCCAAGGACCGGATCAGGCTGACATTATCGCATTCTGGCGTGGCCTGTGGTCAGAGCCCGTAAGCCACAGCGAGGGCCCTTGGATGGAAGTTGCGGCAAGCCAGGGTGCGAGTGTTACGCCTATGGACACCATCACCATAACGCCGGAAGACGTGGCTGAGGTGGTCCGTAGGGCCCCGAACTGGGAAAGTCCGGGGCTCGACGGGCTGCATCATTACTGGCTGAAGGGATTCATAGTGTATCACGCTGTGCTCGCCAGACAGTTTCAAGAGGCTCTCGACCAGAAGTCGCTCCCGAGCCTCTTCACTACTGGGATCACTCACTTGGTTCCTAAAGATCAAGATACCACAGACCCGAGCAAATACCGCCCCATCACGTGTCTACCCACAATATATAAGACACTGACATCCATTTTGAGCGCGAGAATCACTCGTCACCTGGAGCTAAACCAGGTGATGTCACGCGCTCAAAATGGATGTCGGGGCGGTGGTCGTGGAACCATAGAACCACTCCTCATTGACGCGGTCATAGGCAAAGTGGTGAAACGCAACCGTCGGAACTTCTCTGCCGCCTGGATAGACTACAGAAAGGCGTTCGACTCGGTGCCCCATACATGGATAAAGAGGGTCCTCGAGCTGTAAAAGATTGACTGTACAGTTAGAGACTTCCTCGAGCAGTTTATGGGGCAGTGAAGTACGATCCTTTGTCATCTGGGCGAGCGGATGATAGCTGCGGAGAACCACATAAGGATAAGAAGGGGTATCTTCCAGGGCGATTGTCTGAGTCCAATCTGGTTCTGCCTCTCTCTGAACCCTCTCAGTACCTTACTGGAGGGATCCGGGAGGGGATTTCAGCTACGAAAAGGAGGGACAAAAGTGACCCACCTTTTATATGTGGATGACCTCAAGTTATTCGCCTCCAGTCGCTCCCATCTTATGGAACTGCTAAACATCACTTGTATTTAGCAATTCCATTGGAATGCAGCTGGGGACGGATAAGTGTGCGGTCCTCCATGTTGAAAGGGGAAGGGTTGCTAACTCGGAGGGCATAGACTTGTCTATGCCCTTCAACAGGGCCCTTTCCGAGGCTGAAACATACCGATACCTGGGTATGTCACAGAACATCGGTATCAATGAGGCTGGTATGAAACAGTCAATTTGCGACGTGTTTTATGCACGTTTGACGAAAGTGCTTAACAGACTTTTGTCCGGTGTGAATAAGTTACACGCATATAACTGCTGAGTCATGCCTGTCCTCATGTATACCTTTGGCATGCTCAGGTGGACTCAGACTGAACTTAACGCCCTGGATAGAAAAGTCCGCACTACCATGACGTCCTATAGGATGCATCATCCGAGATCGTCGGTTATGAGGCTGTACTTACAAGCTCTCACCATGCATAATCGCGAAGTGTGCAGTCTCCGTCAATACTTCTTCGCGAGATCGGATGATCCATTCTATAGTGACGTCATTTGTAGTGATAAAGGGCTTACCCCTCTATCCTTAGCCAACGAGCAATGACAGGACCCAGATGTGCTTAGCGTTTCTGACCGGGAGACCGTATGGAAGGAGAAGGAGCTCCACGGGAGGTACTACAAGGCTCTACATGAGCCCTTCGTAGATACAGTCGCATCCCTCTACTGGCTACGTTTCGGTGACCTCTACGGGGAAACCGAGGGTTTTGTCTGTGCAATACAGGATCAGGTTATTAAGACCAACAACTATCGGAGATACATCCTAAAGGATGGCACCGTTGACGTCTGTCGAGCTTGTCGCCATCCCAGAAGAGTCACTTAGGCATGTCATCTCCGGTTGTTCGGCGCTTTCTAACTCTGAGTACTTGCACAGGCACAACCTAGTAGCCACAATTCTACACCAGGAGCTCGCTCTAAAATACGGTTTCGTGGACCGGAAAGTGCCGTATTACAAGTACTTGCCGGAAGCCGTGCTCGAAAATGACCGCGCCAGGCTCTACTGGGATGGGGCCATCATCACAGACAGGACTATTCTTGCGAATAAGCCTGATATTGTGCTGATGGACCGGGCACAGTCAAGGATATTTTTGGTCGACACTACCATTCCGTATGACGAGAACCTCGTGAAAGCCGAAACAGATAAGCGAACAAAATATCTGGACCTGGCTCACGAGGTGACCGACATGTGAGGTGGTCGGCCCGACCGAAATTATTCCTGTAGTCGTCTCTGCGAATGGGCTAATCCCAGTCAGCCTTTCGGGTCATCTGAGGTGACTGGGACTCCGTGACCGACCGCTCCGTGGTCAAATGCAGAAGGCAGTGGTCCTCGATACCGCCCGCATCGTCCGTCGGTTTCTTTCCCTTTCCTCCTAACCCTCAGCCGTTTGGTTTCCTATGCCGAGGGCTTCCATCTGGTTGGATCTTTATTTATTTGTGTATTTTTTGTATTTATTTTATTTTATTGATATTTATGTATATTTATCTTTTCATTTTAATTTATAATTATATATTTATAGAAACCAACCAGATGAGAAAACTATATATATACCCCATAAATAATAATAATAATAATACCGCCCTTCGTAGATACAATCGCCTACCTCAACTGGCTACGTTTCGATGACCACTTCGGAGACACCGAGGGTTTTGTCTGTGCAATATAGGATCAGGTTATTAAGACCAACAACTATCGGAGATACATCCTAAAGGATGGCACCGTCGACGTCTGTCGAGCTTGTCGCCATCCCGGTGAGTCGCTTAGGCATGTCATCTCCGGTTGTTCGGCGCTTTCTAACTCTGAGTACTTGCACAGACACAACCTTGTAGCCAGAATTCTACACTAGGAGCTTTGCTCTGCAATACGGTCTCGTGGACCGGAAATTGCCGTATTACAAGTACTTGCCGGAAGCCGCGCTCGAAAATGACTGCGCCAGGCTCTACTGGGACCGGGCTATTCTTGCGAATAAGCCTGATATTGTGCTGATGGACCGGGCAAATTCAAGGATATTTTTGTTCGACATTACCATTCCGAATGATGAGAACCTCGTGAAAGCCGAAACAGATAAGCGAACAAAATAATTGGACCTGGCTCACGAGGTGACTGACATGTGGGGTGGTCTGCTGGCCGAAATTATTCCTGTAGTCGTCTCTGCGAATGGGCTAATCCCAGTCAGCCTCTCAGGTCTTCTGCGGCGACTGGGACTCCGTGACGGACCGCTCCGGGCTCAAATGCAAAAGGCAGTGCTCCTCGATACCGCCCGCATCGTCCGCCGGTTTCTTTCCCTTTCCCCCTAACCCTCGGCCGTCTGGTCTCCCCTGCCGAGGGCTTCCATCTGGTTGGATCTTTATTTATTTGTGTATTTTTAGTATTTATTTTATTGATATTTATGTATATTTATCTTTTCATTTTAATTTGTAATTATATATTTACAGAACCCAACCAGATGAGAAAACTATATATATACCCCATAAATAATAATAATGATAACCTACAGACCGAATTTCATCCACGGCGGCCAGTTTCAACAAGCTCAAGCCATCGGCGCAATATATTATGTTACCACGGGGGTGGTACTAATAAATAAATGAAAAAAAAACATTAATTACCTTTTGCCTCTATTCAGTAGCCTCAATAGTAGACAACCACTGAGTATGTCTTATACGTATCCCCCTCGTGCTTATTTTTGCTACCATACAGCAGCGGTTTATAAAGTGTAGAGAGTCACAGGTTGTGAGGCATTATTCCTGGGTTACAAGTTGCTTACAGATATCTATAAGTGTCTGTGCGCAAGCACAGGAGCACTCTCTAATTCCTCTTTCTCGTAGTCCGATGTCCGACCTCGTGATATCCGGTTCACGTCTTTACGTGTTTTCCGGTACACGAAGGTGAATTAACGCCGTCTTCCTGATTCCGTGCTGCTACTGAATTTTTTGGCACAAAAACCAAATAACGAACTTTATTCCGACTTGGTTACGAACCCAGGACATGATTGTCGACAGTCGCTCATATGACCACTAGACAATCGAGGCAGTCAATATTGCTTGTGGAAGGAATTTTGAATAACGAACTGAACCGTTTTACCATTACGTTTAAAGGCCCGAGTTAAACTAAAGGATGACTATTAAGCACACACTCCACTTGATCGTAAGTTTTTTCTTAATAGAATAAGGCTGTGACTCATAGACATTTATTTTCAATTAAGAATCAAAATGCAGATGCGCTATCACCCTTGAGGACTGAGATAGAACGTCTCGTTTCCTGTAAAAATGGTCTCCGGTTCTCTACACTCACCATACGAAACCCAGCAGCACTGAGCTGCTATTTTACGCTGGTATTTCGTGAGAGCGTGATCCTGACCTGGCCGAACCGACCCAATCGTTCTGCAACTACAATACAGCTGCAGCGTGGCTCTACCACGTAAAAGAAAACAAAAAAGTGGGTGATGTGGTCTATAGAAATCTGCATTCTAAGTGCAGATGCTAATGTAGACGCTTTGTCATCACTAAGGATTAAAAATGAAAAGTCTCATCACTAGTAAAAAGTGTCTTCGGTTCTAATATGTACGAATTTTTATGTTTCACAGTGTGGAACGTTGATCAAATAAATATGTTTCTTTCTTTTTTACGTTCTTCATCTCACGGATACACTGCATGTTGCTATTTTACGTTGGCATTCTGTTCGAAGTCTGTTCCCAGTATAGACAACCCATTCATGTTGTAACCACAATACAGTTGGAGCAAGGCTCAGCCACGTATAAAATGCGGTGAAGTTCATTCAATATTCAGTGCAACCAACCACGTGGATTTATAAGGTGAACCCTTGGAGCTCATTTCGGATAATCCATTACAGCCTATAAAAGTCCACTGCTGAACATCATGCAGGTCTCACCCATAGATTGACTCCTAAGGGGGATTTTGCCATAGTTGCCACGCTTGGCAAGAGCAGTTTTCTATAATTTTGAGTTTTTATCAGGAAGGTGCTGCTTCCCATCTCCTGCTTCAGTTTCCCTCTGTCGCCTCTTACGACACCCACGGGAAGATATGTGGCACTACCCCACTGATATTCCTAACTTGCCCCAACATGGTATTCGGTCGCATAGTCATTATACATGGTTGGATATTTGTACTACCTTTGTACTAAAATAAATATATAATATTTATTTTAGTACAAAGGTAACTAGTTTATTAGTACAAAGTTTATTCAGTAGTAGTTTAGTAGTAGTAGTATTCAGTTGTTTATTTTAGTACAAAGTTTAGGCTTAGGAACGGAGAGCTGCTTTCTGTTGGCTTCAGTATTGTTAAGTAGCTGGACTGTCGGCGGACTGTCGATTGCTAAGCGTGGAGATTACAGCAAACTCCCACCTCACCTTTCGAGAGGACTGTGTTGAGATCTTTAAATATACAATGTTGATGCTGTTGAGAAACAGTTATAACATACTAATTTTGTTTGTATAATCTTAAAGCAAACATCATTGATTAGCATTGTTGAATATTGTTTAAAATTGTAAAGTGCAAACTATAAAATTTTAATGCAAATGTATTTTATGTTGGCAACACAGTATATTTTATGAAAAATGTTCTAATAAATTGAAAACAAATGTGACAGTTGCAATAGTTTTTACATAAAATGAATTCGAACTATAAATTATTAATTAATGCCGATATTTATGAGGATCTAATTTCTTCAGCACGATAGAACGAAAACATAAATGGCATATTGTTTATATCCGTCTATAAAAACTTGGAAACATATCCTTGACTTAGCGTTCATTGACATTTAGTTTTATTACATATGCGTCTAGGATAATTCGTATCCTAGTTTAGTCCGGTGTCATAAAAATAAATAAAAACAGACTTTAATAAAGTAACAATCAAGTGAAAAATTCTTCTAATCTAGAAAGTTGATTTTTATGTATTACTCATTCTATCTATTGAAAATATTGTTAAAAATTCAGAGTAATTGTTGATGAATCTGGAGTAGATTTCTAACATTTTTATTAAACCTTTAGTACCAACTTCTATTTATATAATAAAAGGAACTGGATATCTTATAAATTTAACGCGAATTTTCACATACCTAGTAACTATGGTTGAAAAACAAATATTATATTTCTTAATAAGTTCACATATTGAGTTAAAAACAAATATACTATATGGAATCATGCCCATAGTATAAGCATAGGTTATTGTACACCTAAATAACCTATGTACCAGTTGATACTTTTTCTTTTACTGTTTCTCAAGTGATTTCTTAAACAAACTTTAGTATTTAAATGCCTTTTGGTTGTGATCTTTCGAACAAAAAGATTTCCTTGCCATATCTTTGGTTTTAGTAACTCTAATCTTGTTGAGTCATATAATTTGCTATGCATGATTTTTGTAACTGCGAATGTGTTTTTTATTTAATAAATTTAACTTTTTTATAGAAGCGGAGGCAAATGAGCATCCGGCTCACTTGATGGTGAGTGGTCACCGCTGCCCATTGCAAAACCGTCAAAATGGCTGGAGTGTTGCCACCCTTTTAGAAAGAAGTAGACTCTTCGGTTTTAGTGGTCAATAAGCACTTATCATTTGAATTAGCAATTCTAAACTAAAGGTGATAGCGAAGATCGATTAATTTTCTTTAAAAAGTTATCACCACACTAGGTTTTTTTCTGTATCATGAAATCGTTTTAAAACACTAATTGCAACTGGATGGGAATCCCGACTAGAAAAAATTTCGTGTTGGGTATACAACTATTTATTCCGTACAAGAATAAAACTCGCGTTCGGAAGTGCGGCAACCAAATGCTTAGCCAGTAAACTGTTGAGTCAGTTTACCTAGTTTGCTCGCATTATATGATATTTTGAGGCGCGTATCCCATGAGCATTAACGTCCATGTTACACATAGAGAGTGGTTATATAGTCTTTGATGTTACACCTATGCCGGTAGTTGTTGGGAGTACTATGCTCGAAGTTATCGACGAATATGTTTATCTAGGACAAATAGTCCGACAAGGTCCAAATTCGACGGATTAAACTCGGATGGGCAGCGTTTGGAAGATCAGCAATTCAGCTAGCTATGGTGATTAAATTGTTAATTGCAATTTTAAGAGCAGATTTACAACTTCCTCGGCGGTGAAGGAAAACATCATGAAGAAACTTGTATGCCTGAGAAATATAAGAAAAACATATTTTAGAACACATGTGAAATTCGCTAATACGCATTGTGGCAGCCCAGCGGACATTTCCTTACCATAAAACCTGTGGCCTGTGCCAAGCAGTGGGACGTATATAGGCTGTATTTTGAGCTATGGAGAGGGCTATGGTCGGAGTTTTTGCGTAATAGACTTAGTAATAAGGGTATCTGTAGAACCAGAGTAACCGACATAGCTCAACGGATTAGTAAGCTGAAGTGACTATAGGCCATATAGCTCGAAAAACCTACAACCGATGGCGAAGAAACATTTTTGGGAAATTTATATTTTAAATCGTAAACAGTGATATTATTATATAACGATATAAGTACACGGGATTGAATATGCGGGGTTGTATAAAAGCTTATGCAACGTGACCTGAGCGCATGTTGCTTTATACTTTTTAATGCAAATTAGTGCCATTATACTGTGAACCAAACAGGTGTCAGACGGTCGGTGCAGCGAACGCAACGCAGTATTTAACGCTAGACGTTTACTTAAACGCGATGTAGATAAAATAGCGTTGGATCAAGCACTTCAAACGCACGATATTAGGGTTTTTCAACTCTCTCCACTGTCCTGTTGTGATTGTAAGTCCGGTCACGGATTTTTGTGGAACTCCGCAACAGTACCGCTAGAACGCCGCATCTTTACCGCAACACATCTCACACAATTTAAGGGTGATATATCTATAATCAGAATAATTTTGGTCATAGGTACAAATAGTTGTTCCGTGCGAGATTCGAATCCGCGGCACTTATCTTTGAAACTTAATGCTAAGCTACTGCCACGGAGCCGTGTGTTATTACAGACGAGAATTTAACGATAAATCGATACGCGATTGATCATTGGGGAACCAGATTATATACTCTCCTTGACTTCACCAGTCAAGATATTTAAAGTGTGATATTTTAAAATATTCAA